CCCCTGTATGTGCTATATACACAGTGAAACTGTATCCCCTGTACATGCTATACACATGTTAGAACTATATCCCTTGTACATCCTTTACACATGTTGGAACTGTATCCTCTCTACATGCTATGCACACAGTGGAAACTGTATCTCCTAGTGTGATGTACTGTGAAGCTGGGCCTTTAACAGCTCATTAGATGTTAATGCAATTAATGCTTTATAAAAAGCATAAGAGGCTGGCACACATGCTCTTGCCTGGCCATGTGAGGACATAGCAAGAAGGCCAACCAAGAATCAGAATGTGCTGATACTGAGATGTTGGAGGTCCCAACTTCAAGAACTAAGAGTAATCATACTTATGTTTAATCTACACAGCCTGTGGTATTTTGTGACAGTAGCCTGAGTAGACATATAGAATTTTTTTTTCCTGTTGGGGTTTTAGGTTCTCTATAAAGGCTAGCTTTCCTTCTTCACTTGATTTTAGAACTTCTGGAGAAGGGCAATGAGGGGAGTCTGGTAAAGCAGCACCCAGATGCTACCATGTGTTTTGTTTTCTAGAAAATAAATGTCAATTTAATAAAAGAAATGGAGGGGTATAAAGTACTATTCTATATCCTCAGTCCCATGAGGCTAATTACAGTAATAGCTGCTCATATGCCAGCATCTGTTGTTGCAGCCTGTGCTATATCTGGGGACAGAGAAGGAAAGAGGAACAGGCAGCTAACAGCACCTGTACAAAACGGTAAAGTTGGTGGCCAATAAAAAAATCAAAAGATTGAGCAACAGAACCAAAATATCTGGGCTCAGGGGTCTTTTCTGAGACTGATATTCCAACCAAGGTACATTCATGGTTATCACCTAGAACCCCTGCTCAGATGTAGCCCATGGGAGCTCAGTATCCAAGTGGGTTCCATAGTATGGGGAAGAGGGACTGTCTCTGACATGAACTCAGTGGCTGGCTCTTTGACCACCCCCCTTGAGGGAGGAGCAGCCTCACCAGGACACAGAGGAGGATATTGCAGCCAATCCTTTTGAGTCCTGATAAGTTAGGGTTGGATGGAAGGGGAGGTGGACTCCCCTATCAGTGGAGGAGATGAGAGAGGGAGGGTGAGATTGGGAGGGAATTAGGGAAGGGTCTACAGCTGGGATGCAAAGCAAATGTGATTAATGTAAAAAAAAAATAAAAATTTAAGACCAGATTTTTTGGTTCTGTTGCTCTCCTTGTGGAGCTCCTGTTCTCTCCAGATCTATCTCCCCCTTCTTTCATAAGATTCCCTGCACTCTGCCCAAAGTTTGGCTATAAGTCTCAGCAACTGCTCTGATACCCTTCAGGGTACAGCCTTTCAGGGGCTCTGCGGTAGGCTCCTGTCCTGTTCCCTGTTTTCTCCCTCTTCTGATGTCCATCCTCTTTGCCTTTCTGAATGGGGATTGAACAACTTAGCCAGAGTCCTCCTTCTTGATTAGTTTCTTTAGGTGTACAGAGTTTAATATGTTTATCCTGGGGTCTTTTCTGAGACTGATACTACAACCAAGGACTATTCAAGGAGATAACCTAGAGCCCCTGCACAGATGTAGCCCATGGCAGTTCAGTGTCCAAGTGGGTTCCATAGTAATAGGAACAGAGACTGTCTCTGACATGAACTGATTGGCCTGCTCTTTGATCACCTCCCCCTGAGGGGGAAGCAGCCTAACCAGGCCACAGAGGAAGACAATGCAGCCAGTCCTCATGAGACCTGATAGACTAGGATCAGAAGGAAGGAGAGGAGGACCTCCCATATCAGTGGACTTGGGGAGGGACATGGGTGGAGAAGGGGGAAGGAAGGTGGGATTGGGAGGGGATGAGGGAGGGAGCTACAGGGGGGATACAAAGTGAATAAACTGTAATTAATAAAAATAAAAATAAAAAATTTAATTAAAATATTAAAAGATTTTGATTTTCTTAGGTCCTGGGGAAATGCAAATTAAAACTGATTTCAGATTTTATCTCACCCCATTCAAAATGGCCACCATCAAGAAGGCAAATGACAAATGCTAGTGAGGACACAGGGACAGAAGAGCCCTTTACATCACTGAATGCAAGTTCAGCATTCTTGTCACTCTGAAAGTCAGTCTGAACTACCACATGGTGCAGAGAAGTCACCCCTGTGTGGATCCACGTACATTCCAGCGGAGATACTTGCACATCCGTGTGTATTAACACTCTAGTCACAGTAGCTAAGAAATGAACCCCTATCAGCAGAGGAGTGGATAAAGAGGTGTGGTGTGTGTGCACAGCAAGACTTCACATAACCATAGAGGAAAGCAGAATTGTGATGTTGGTGCAGCAGAAAATTGTAATGCTAAACAAAAAGATTCACACTCAACTAGAAAAATGCTGCATATTTTCTTTCATGTGTGAACTCTACATTTAGATTTCTACATGTGTGGATGTGTTACATGTATACAAGTTATGAAAGTAGAAAGTAGAAGGAAGAGGGGGATACATTTTAAGGGAAGCATGATGGAAGAAAGGAAAAAGAAAAAATGATGGGATATATGGACATAAAGGTAGAAATGGGTATTTGGGGGAAGCTTTTGTTTTAACTTATAGAATTCTCCTTGAGGCTGCCTCTCAGAAAGGTGAAGCCCCAGGTCTTCAAGTCTCTTTAAGAACCATTCACAGTGGCAGAGCTCAGGTTTGGACCCAACTCTCCTGTGCTCACTCTGCTGGTTTGAGGGCTGTCTATTAAGATCAAAAGTTGTTTGTCAGTCTTGTTTGGCTTTTCTTAGGTCTCTGGGCTATCCAGCTTCTGGGTCCTGGCCCTCCAGGCAGTCTCAGGGATGGGCTCCCTCTCTTGGTTGGAGCAGTCATTCATTGTTTGATCACTTTCACAATTTCTGTGCCACCTTTACCCTGGAACTGCTTGTAGACAAGACAAATTGTAGGTTGAAGGTATTGTGGCTCATATTGTGTTGCCTTGTCCAGTATTAAAATGGAAGGTGCCTAATCTTACTGGAACTTGATATGCCATGTTTGGTTGCTTTCCAAGGAAGGCGTGCCTTTTTCTGAATAGAAATGGAGGAGGAGCAGGGGAGGTGCAGGTAAAGCACTGGGAGAAGAGAAAGGGTAAACCTCAGCAGGGATGTAATAATAATAATAATAATAATAATAATAATAATAATAATAATAATAATAATAATAATAATTATAAATCTATCTATCTAGGGAGTCTTCAGAGTTACTTGGAGGGTATCTGTGGGGGAGTTGGAAGGCAAAGCATGGGTGCATGATTATGATAATGAGGAAAATGATGATAGCAGTCAGGAAAAATTTCTCTGAGCTGTTTGTTTGCTGACCCATTGGTTCCCATCCCATGTCCTTTGGCACTTAGCAAATGTCTAATTAATACAATCTGATCTTCATTTCCTTTTCTAATCTGATCTCTATTTCCTGGAGAGCCAAAACCAAAACAAAGCAAGCATCTGGCTGAAATGAACTCTCCATGCCTTTCCTTCAGGTGTTATAACAAGAAGGAGGTAGCCCATGCTTCTCTAGAGACTCTGGGCTGGCTGCTCTTCAGAGATGCATTAGCTCAAAAGCAGCAATAAAGAAGTAAAGCTTATTTCTTCACCACATTTCAACTATACACGGGGCATTGGTTTTTGGGCTCCTCAAGGACACCCTTGTTCTTGAGTACTGTTAAATAAAACCATGCAGTGCTTTATAAAGCATGTGCACATCCTCTTGTGTAATTAAAACTATCTCTGGACCATAATAGTACTTAACAGGAGAGAGATGATATGTAAAGAGTTATCCTGGATTGCTTAGGCAATAATGAAAAGAGAAAGTGTCTGTGCATGTGAAGGACAGATAGATTTTTCCCCTTTGCATATTTTTTGTTCATGTTTGGTTAAAGCTGTGAATTCAAAACATGTGGATACAAGAGCTGATTATACTGGGTTTGGTTTTGCTGTACAAAACTCAAATGAGGAGTGGGGTGATGGCTCATTGGTACTAAATCAATAGGTCTCTGTTTTAGCTATTGGGGAACTAACCAGGTCATAGTAGAGCCTTTATAGAATTAAATAAATATTCAACACTTGAAAGCACAAGGACTTGAGTTTGCTCCTCAGAAGGCACTTAACAAAAGCCATGTGTGGTGGTGGATGCTTATAATTCCAGTGCTGGGACCCAGAGGCAGGCAGGTGAGCCCTGTTGACTTGGTAACACACACACACACACACACACACACACACACACACACACACACACA